ACACCAAAACGATCTAAACGGATCTAGCACAGCAAATTATGAATAAGGCAGTGAGGAGCATCTCAACAAGACTCCACACAGATCACGCGCCGTGCGACGCGCACCGTCGCGTTCCACTTGAACTACTCTAGTGGGTTTGTTTTTCATCGTGCAAAGATTTTGATACCAAATTAAACCTAAAACAAGCCTATGCCTTCTTTTGATAACGAAGCAGTCGTGTCCATTTGCCCGTAATAAATTATCTGACCACACAATTTTCGAAAACTTGAACATTTTTTGAGCTATTGAATTTTTCAAAAATTATTTGGTTAAGTTCTGTCCAGTTGAAAGAGCAGATTTAACACGAGTGGATCTGCCTGTAAAAAAATTGATCAAAATTGATTGCATAGCAACTGAAGTACAGCGCAATGAAGGGTTGCGTCGCAACCCGTCAGAAGACCCTTCATGAGAAATTAAATGCTGTCAAATTTCTCTTTGTAGTGATAAACAAGACGACGGTTCCAACGTTAAGACGTTGGAGAGCGTTCACCGTAGCACCTCGTCGATATGTAAAAGTGGTTTTGCGCGGACGACGGAAGAGAGCGCTGCAAGACGCTGTTGAACTAAGTTAGTTAGTTATTATAATTTTGAGACATTCAGCGACTCAGGCTATTAACGTCTTTACAGGTAATTTTGAAAATATATAGAAGTATAAACGAAAATTTAGATTTTTAAATTAAGAGAGGTAAAGAGTTTCAGAATTTTGGTGGCAATATTAGGTTCATCGCATGTAAGAGGGTTTGTATTTCTGTTGAATGAAGGGGAGTAGATCTGTGATTGGTGATGTCGGAGGGAAGAGCAGTCCATAAGTATGTGTTTGATGGTTAGAGGTGATGAATTGCAGAAGTGGCAGGTGGGTTGGTTTTCTTTAGATATGATATGATAGTGAGTGAAAAAAGTGTGACCTATCCTGAGACGCGCAATTTGGACTTCACATGATCTTGATTTGTGGTTAGATGTTCTTGGATATGGCATGGGGGCTCTACGGAGACGATTCTGTTCACTTGTGCTCCATTCTTGTTCCCACGATTTTGTGATAAGTTCGCACATAGCTTTTTTAGCATCTTGCTGAGTGAATGGATGGTGAGTGATGTTCTGCAAAGAGCATGCTTCAGTGGCTGCTCTGTCCGCTGTTTCGTTTCCCAGAATTCCTATATGAGCCGGTACCCAGATAAAAGAGGTGGAGTGGCCATTGGCCAATAAGGAATGAACAGTATCATGGATTAACATTGAAAAGGGATGATTAGTAGGGTTGTATTTCAAGGTGCGGAGTGAGGAAAGAGAGTCAGAGCATATGACGTAATTGATGGTATCATTGTTACAGGAACTAAGTTCTTGTACATATCTAATTGCTTCGAGAATAGCCAGCATCTCAGCTGTGAAAATAGAATTTAACGGAGATAATTTTTGTTTTAGGATAAAATTATTTGATGTATCTACGAATGCTAATCCTACTGATGTTTCTTGTTTAGAACCATCTGTGAAAATTTGTTTGTAATCAGGGAAGTTTTGACATAAAAGTTGATTTAGTCGTTCCTTGTAAAATGTACTTGATGTGTTTCCTTTCTGATAGACAGCTAGGTCCAAATTGACAGTATCGATATTGTACATCCACGGGGGGCAGGAAAGGGTTTCATTTGGAGAAAGTTGTAGTTGATCGAGGCTGTATTTTGTTTTCAATTTATCAATCAGCTGCTTAGTGACATAAGAAATAGGTTTAACAGTGTCTGTCACTTCAATAGCATCACATATCATATGTGGATAGGTAGGATGATTTGAAGATGTCATGACTTTAGTGAGATAGCCACTAAGTAGGATCTGCCTTCTCCATTGAAGGGGCGGTTCCCCTGCTTCGGCGCACAGACAAATAGAGGGACTAGTTCGGAAAGCACCGAGTACGATACGTAAAGATGATGAGTGAATGACATCTAATGTCCGTAGATAAGTTTTTGCTGCAGATTGATAAACGAAAGATCCGTAATCAATTTTAGATCTTATTAAACTTCTGTATAATGTGAGTAAAGTTTCTCTGTCACATCCCCATTGAGTATTTGCAAGATATTTAAGTATGTTCATTGCTTTTTTGCATTTCGCAACAAGATTTTCAATATGTTTAGCCCATGTTAGTTTTCGATCAAAAATAAGTCCTAAATAGACAACAGATGTTTTAAAGGGTATCTTTTCTCCCATTAGAAAAATGGTTGGGGTGGATGGGTTATTTCTTTTACGACTAAAAATCATTCCAATGGTCTTTTGTACAGAAAACCGGAAACCAGTTTGATTGGACCAGCTTTGAAGTCTACTTACAGTTATTCTGAGTAGTTTTTTTGCTATCTTGATATTTTTAGATGAAATATAGATGCAAAAATCGTCCATAAAAAGGGAGGATTGTACAGGTTTCGGAACGCATTCTAGAATTGAATTGATAGCGATTGCAAAAAGTGTACAGCTTAGAACACTACCCTGGGGAATCCCATTCAAAAGTTCAAAAACCTCCGAAAAGCAGGTTCCCAATCTCACACGGCATATTCTTCGCTGTAAAAATTCACTTATCATAAGTGGAAGATGACCGCGAAAGCCCCATTTATGGAGCGTCTTGAGAATGTTGTACCTCCATGTAGTGTCATATGCCTTTTCTAAATCAAAGAAAATGGCATAAGTATCCAATTTTTTAAGAAATCCATTTTGAATAGTTGATTGAATTTTCAGTAGATGATCAATTGTTGATCTTCTTTTTCTTCCCCCCGATTGAATGTTATTCCAACACTCATTTTGATCGAGGGTCCATGTCAATCTTCTATTGACCATGCGCTCATATAATTTACATAAGGTAGAGGTAAGGGAGATAGGCCTGTAACTTGTGGGTTTGGTTCTGTCCTTACCTGGTTTAGAAATTGGGAGAATGGTTGATTCAAGCCATTGCTGTGGGAATTGGTTAGAAGTCCAAAAACCGTTTAGAGTTTGTAACAAATATTCTTTACATTCAGTAGGTAGATTTTTAATCATGAGATTATGTATTTCATCAGGACCCGGGGCAGTATTATTTAATACAGCGATAGCATCATTCAATTCTTGAGCAGAGAAAGGAAGATTGTACTGTTCCAAATTATCAGAATTAAAATCAAGCTTTTTCTGTTCTTCCTGATTTTTAAAGTTGAGGAAATCTTCAGAGTAGTGATCATTATTGCTAACAGAACAGAAATGATTTGCAAGCTCATCAGTGATCTGCTGAGTATCGGTCAATATTTCACCATTTTGTGATTCAAGAGATAAAATGTGGGTTGGGGGAGGACGTCCCACAATTTTTTTGATTTGTGACCAAACTTGGGCACTTGATGTGTTAGTATTTATTGATTTTACGAAGGTTTGCCAGCTCTCAGATCGACTGGCTTTTATCGTGCGTCGGGCAATTGCCCTGGCTTTTTTATAGGCAATTAAATTTTCTAATGTTGGGTTTTTTTTATAGAAACGCAGGCATTTTCTTCTATTTCTAATGGTTTTTTGGCACTGGTCATTCCACCATGGGACAGGGGGCCGAGTCATCTTCGTTGATGTCCTAGGTATTGAAGAATGAGCTGCCTTTAATATTTGCTCAGTTAGATTGGCAAGCATGTCATGACAAGTATAGTGTTCATCTGGGGGCTGCAATGTTATAGAATTTGAAAATTTAGTCCAGTCTGCTTTTTGAATGACCCATTTGCTTGCACGTGAGGATACTTCCCTTTCATAACCTAAAGAAGTGAAAATAGGAAAGTGATCAGACGAGCACAAATCATTGTGCACTCGCCATGTAATTGACGATCCTATGGTAGGAGAGCTAAGAGTAATATCTATTGCTGAGAAGGTGCCAGTTGCTGATGAAAAATGTGTATATGATCCATCATTATGTAGGAGGAGCCCATGATTGTCTAGCAATGTTTCTATTAATCTACCCTTTGTGGAGATACTATCGGATCCCCACAAAATATTATGTGCATTAAAATCTCCACACAAAATATAAGGCGTGGGCAACTGCTTAATAATATTTTCTAAATCACGTAATATTAATTTGGTATTTGGAGGAATATATATATTGCATATTGTGAGCTTAAATTGTAGAGAAACTTGTATAGCAAGAGCCTGTAGTTCGGTATTGAGGGGGATCAATTTATTTTGGCAACATTCTTTGACTAAAGTAGCAACACCATTACATGAACGAATTCCCCCCAGAAAATCTTTTCTGAAGGTTTGATAACCTCTTATATCAAAAGATTGACTTGGATTTAGTTGGGTTTCCTGGAGAGCGATAATGAGTGGATCATGGTCTCTAATAATGTTGAACTAAACGTGGAGCGGAACCTAGGAAACATACATATACTTACACAAGAAATGTCTTGTCATCGTAGAGTAAAATATAGGGGTCATTAGTGAAGGGGTACTTTGTACCCAACAATTTTTTTACATCTCCGACGACTAAAAATTTGAACGATCCTTGAAAGATTCATTAAATAAAAGTACGTTGCAGAGTTTTATATCGTAAAGATAATAATTTCTCAAAGGCAAGCCTACAGGCAATACATAAAGTGGACAAAATAGGAGAAAAAAGGTAGAAATGGTACATAAAAAAAATTGAGAAACTCGGTATTGCTTTCCGCCACGAAAAATGGCGCCGATTCCCATGGAACAGTGCGGACTTTACCAATTGACACATTAGTAACATACCCGCTGCGAAACGACGGGAAAGAGCGTGCACTACTAACGGGGTGAACGCTCAATATAATTTTAGTACATTACATTACATATAAGTCGCTTTACAGCACTCCCTCGCGCTCTACGACTCCTAACCTCCACTGCTCTCTTTCAAACCACAAATCATGGGGGATTGAGCACCTTAACATTTCCGCTTCAATCCCTTCCCTCCAACCTTTCATTGGGCGCCCTCTGCGTGTAATTTTAGTAACACTTGTATATTTTTTGCTCAGATGCACATGCAGCAGGCGGAAGAAACCCAGACGGCATTCTCCACGAATGGCCATGTTGCTGATGAAGGATCCAACATCCGAGCTTCCCCACGGCATAATAAACCAGACTATGAAAGAAGGAGAGCCTCGTTCGTTAGCAGATCTAATGGAGCTATCATGGTAAAGACAACGACTTTCTCTTCCTCTATACTAAAAGTTCCGAGACCTCCTAAATTTGTATATCCGGTAACGCTTAGTTCCAGCGTTCTACCGGGCCGATTTCCATGATTTTGCGGCTATCGACAGGCTATCGACTATCTCTATCTCTAAATGAGCCCGCTCCAGTGTTCGAAACTCACCTTTGAGTTTTAGGAGCCATGTGGCGCATCAAACCCAATTTTCAGGCGCCATTAAAGATTCTGCCTAAATATTACAGCGCATTTAGGGACAAGTTAGACGCCGGGGAAGTTAAGGGCACTGAGAATGAAATCGTGAAGAATAGAAAAAGCTTTCACTTGTCGTGCTGAAAATTCTGAGATTTTTTAATTCAGATAGATTTGTTTTTCTTTCTTTATGTAACTTCCCATGAAAATCCAGATTTTTAGGGGCCACGTTGGCGCAGAGCCTTTACTTTTTAGGCGCCATGGCCGATTTTTTAGGAGCATTTGGCGCGTTGGCGCCTGTGAGTTTCGACCACTGGCCCGCTCTATTTAGATTTTGAAAATATGATCCAAATTTTTTGTATGTTACGTGGTAAAGCTGCGGATTCTCCCATTTAAACAATGTCACTTTTTTTATTTTTTGTCATAGTTCGTTTGAGCGTTTTACTGGACCGATTGCCATGATTTTGCGGCTATTGAGTAGGCTAGGCGATAGTCCCTAAATGAACCCGCTGTGATCAGAATTTGAAAATAGGGCCCAGGTTTTTTTCATAAAAGGGTAGACCAGGGAGCCTAGGAATGGGGGCAAAATTTGAAATTCCAGCGGGACTTTCAAACATTTAACTAAGCGGGAAATGTTGAATCTAGGTCTGTTAGTAGGGTACGTGAATCGAGGGTATGCGCCTTTGCTATAGACTATCCAAAAGCGACGATACGCTTGAAGTTTAAAATAAGTCGATTTCTCTCATCCGATTCTTCGTATTGGTTCAATCACTCCCGGTCAGAGGGAGATTGAACAAATGAGAGTTCGGTATGAAAATCTGTTCTTTTGTTTTGGTCGTTCTTTTTTCGAGCGCAAAGCGCCCTCTGGGGGCTGGATCGCGTGGCGGCCAGGAGGCATAGCCTCTTAGTATCAGTACAGTCGCCTAGAGAAGCCCCTTTATATTATATTTTCTTCTCTTTGACTTTCTAACAATATAGTCTCGATTATGCATGCCTATATTATCCGTGGTCAGTTTATGTGGTTTTCCGCCCTTTTTTTCTTTCCTTTTTTCTCACTTTGCCTCTTTTTTTTACTTTTCTTCTATTTTCGTCCACTATTAGATTTTTACTGCTCAATGAATATACCTCCAAAGTCATTTCATTTATGAAACACTAATTTCATTGTAGAGTTTCCTTCTTTTACTTTTATTTTATCACCCCTAATCCATATCAAATATAAATTCCAGCAAAGCAGTACATTAATTTTTTCCCCTAGGTTAGTAGTTTTTTTTATTCGTGTTATAAGGTCCCTCTTGTAAACACATGTGGGGGTAAATGATCTGTGACCTTGGGGCGTGCAATCTATCGGCACGCAGAAATGGTGTTTTTTACAGTATCAATAATTGACTGCACAGACATTTTGCACGCACATCTTACTATTTCACGGAATGGAACAAACGAGAAATAAATTAATCGAAAAGGAGAAGTTTCGAAGAGAAAAAAAAATGATCGCACGATGAATAAATTGACCCACGGGAATATACTGCCGTGCTGAGGAAAAACGCCGTATGAACCGTCAGGCGTTGCCAAATTTTCTTTAATAAAACACGAATTTCCCGGTACATTTAAGAATATTTTCCTTCCGATTTTTCAGATAATTTCGTACGCAATTTCACCAAAAGTTCCTGTAAATAATATTCATAACTTACCTCAAAAATAAACATTTTATCGAAGGAAATTTGACAACTCTCGAATGTTCATACAGCGTTTTTCCTCAGCACGGCAGTATAGTCATCTTGCGCGTTAAAACCCGCACATATATACGGCATGAACTCGACTAGGAAATTTTTTCTAAAAATGGTAGATTACACGCAAATATGCAAGCTCTTTAAATCGCTGAAATTCTGATGAAAGGGACTCGTCATTACACCAGCAATCCTCGCTTTGCTTTTGCCGGTTAGCCTCCATCCCAATCCTCACCAAATATGAATGATTTTAGTCTCTTGAGGTGGATTTGCATCCCAAATATATTTACAAAGGTTATTTTTAAAGGAGAAAAGGCTTGTGAAACGAAAGTCGGAGGTGCTCTTTTCATTGATTAACGATTTCCTAAGGTTCAATTGATTTCATTGATTAAGATTTCCTATGATTTAATTGATTTCATTGATCCAGATCTCCTTAGATTTGATCGATTTGATTGATTAAGATGTCCTAAGATTTGATTGATTTTATTGATCAAGTCCATGCCCTGTAGTTGCTCTCCTCAAAGTCGAACGTCTTCTAATAATAAATCTCACATACAGCCCACGTCCCTAACGTAGGGGGAAAAAGGCGATGTTTGCATTTCGGGCATCTTGGATTTTTCTGATGACGTAGGTCGGTCCGGACGATTTTTATCAGCAATTTTCTTGAAAATGGTGTAGTCTAGAGAGAAAAGCATTCTATGTGAAGTGTTTGAAATTATTCAGCAGATTTCAGCAAAAAATCGGACGTTGTGGTCCGTTTTTCATACTTCAAGTATCGGATTTTGCTGGAATATCGATGCCATGTTGTACCGACCTACGTCACGGGATACACTGGAAAAAAAACACATTGGATCTAAAGTCCAGACTCTTAAAAAAAACCTCGACAAGAAAAAGTACTCTTGATTCGATCAGAATCTAGCTTAAATCAAGAACCAAGTCTCTTAATTTAAGCGGATTTCGTTTTGATTCAAGCAAAAATCCGATTGAATCAAGAGTATTTTTTCTTGTCGATGTTTTCAAGAGTCTGGACTCTAGATCCGATGTGTTTTTTTTCCAGTGTAAACGCAATCCTCAAGATACAAACACCTCCTTTTTCTTCTCTATGCGGTCGTAAATGCGTCAGATGTTGATCTAAATGCTCTCAAACATAGCGGAGTTGGCCATAGAAAACAGTGGAAAATTTTCAACGGACTGCTCCCATATTCTCCTATTCTTTCAGGTCCATTAGCATGCAGATATCCGTTCCTGAGGTGAAGCATTTCGTTTATGTTTTCCCGGTTTAGATGAAAGTAAAATTTCGCCGAGTCTACGGAAAATACCGTACTATATTCACGTGGAAACGTGGGCGTTCATGTGATTTGTTGTAAAAAAAGAAAGAGAGAGAGACAAAAACGTGGAAACTTTAACTTTTGCGTGCGCTTTATCACTTTCCTTACAATACTACTACTGCTTTTATCATCAATGTCGGGGGAGCTTGCAATGATTTTTGGCGCGTATACGTAGTATACCGCCTTTGCGATCGTTTCGACCCCCCCCCTCGATNTAAATATTAATAACTATATTACTTTATGTATATATTATTCTACCTCTCCTTCTCTATTGCTAATGATTAATATATATATTATTCTACCTCTCCTTCTCTATTGGAAAATTTTTAGAGATTTCTATTTGCAACATGGTCTAAAATATCGGAAAATTTTAAAGAAATATATTCGAAACTTGTCTAGGAACTAAGCTTATGTATATTATTCTACCTCTCCTTCTCTATTGCTAATGATTAATATATATATTATTCTACCTCTCCTTCTCTATTGCTAATGATTAATATATATATTATAATGATAGGTGTTTTTTTTTTTTNTTTTTTTTTTTTTTTTTTTTTTTTTTTTTTTTTTTTTTTTTTTTTTTTTTTGGAAAATTTTTAGAGATTTCTATTTGCAACATGGTCTAAAATATCGGAAAATTTTAAAGAAATATATTCGAAACTTGTCTAGGAACTAAGCTTTTTGTCGGGTTAAATCTGGCAACGTCCGAATAGTCATACGTTGTCATTCCCCAGCACGTCAGAACCCAGTTGAATAAAGGTTTTTACAAGTTGACGTGTTTTGAGGATTTCAATTTTTCGCAGGTCAACGCTTTCTAAGTACAAGCATCGAAATGGGTTTGTTGCACGCGACATCTGAATGCGTAGTTAGTACCTAGCACAATCCTTCAGATTTACTGCGCACGCGGACAGTTTTTCATGTCGGCCGTCAGTCAGGTTTGCCCGGAGAAAGATCTAACCTAAATAAACGAACAATCTCGCACACTGCTAAAAACTCCTTCCATAAGATTTCAGTCGATTCAAAGCTCTTTCTTTAGGAAAATAAAGAGAGATAAAGGAGACAACGCTTGAAATCGATGGAAATCGTAGAGTAGGAAAAGTAAATGAAATCGTTTGTTTACTCAGGTTATTTGGTTTTACTCCTCTGCCTATGCAAACCTGATCGGCGCATATTGGATCGAGTCAATTAGAGAGGTCAGACATTAAATTTTTTACGAAAACTGCAAATTTTAATGTTTATTTCGTCACATTTTATATTTGAAAAGGTGCTTTTAGAAGATGATTTCATGAGGAGCCACTTTTAGAACCTCAAAGTTTTGTATGTATATGTATAAGCGTTCAAAGTTTCAAAAGCTTGTCCGACCTCTCTCATTGACTCAGTGGCGTGACGTGCTCGGTGATATATCGATTGATCTGCCATTTGAATGTACGGAAAAGGATAGATTATCAAGGTGTTCGCAACGAACACCTTGATAATCGATTCTTTAGCACAGCTTAAAATGGAGAAATATCGATAATTTCGATTCACTGTGCGGCGGTGACTGAGGAAAACTGTCCGTAGACGCGAGAAACTTGAAAAAACGTGTTACAAATTACGCAGACTGCGCGCTAAGGAAAAGATTTCAGCCTTGAAGAGTATAATTACTTGTCTGTGTCTCTTGCATGCAACATGCCAATTTTTTACAGGTTGGCGCATTTTGAACCTTTTTGCGTTTCAAAAGCTCTTAGCATTTGAAGGGTTCATAGAGTCGTGTCATAATAGTTGCTAGTTTAAAGTAGTAAACTTATCGAAAATGTACTTTTTTTAAGCCTTATTGCGTGGTTCTGGGTTATCCACGCGTCGAGTTCCAATCACAGGGAGATACCGAGATTCTATCGCTGGATTTGCACTAAAAAAATCCTAACCGGCCATTAGGCATCGTATGAGCTAAAGCACTGCGCAACAAGTTTTTTCATCGAAACATCGCGAGGGAAACGAATCATACAACGAGTAGTCTGGAAATAAACTCGTAAATAAGGTACAGGATTATTCAAATGTCACGCACCACTGCCATGAGGGGGGTGGCCACTTGAAATTTTTGAGTTGCCCCCCGCCTTCCGCCCCCTCTCCTGAGGAGATCAAAAACTGGAAAGTACCTAAAAAAAGTCTCCCCCTCGATTCGAGGAAAAACGTCTTAAACCGCAAATAGATATCATAATTAGAACTAAAGTTATGGCCAGTGGTGCGTGACTTTTGAATAACCCTGTATAAGTGTTAGCCATCAACCTTTCAAATGGCAAAATAACAAAATTACGTCATTCTCATGATACGAATCCCACTTCATCTATGTTAGAAATATTTGATAATATTATGTTTCAGAATGTGTAATCACAATTCGACGGTGTAAGTCGGCAATCACATAACTCGTTTGCGGTGTCTGAAAAACTCCGCCTCTATATTATTTTTTTAAAAGAGAACAAATTGACATCATTCCTTGAAGTTTATGCAGAATTTTCTTTGCACAGAGAAGAAAAATCACGGAAGTTTTAGAGAATTGCCGTTGATTAGTTTTCCGTTTAAGAAATAAAGTATGACAGGAAGTCTGCGACGTTGCAAACCGAGTTATGTGATTGCCGACTTACACCGTCGAATTTTCCCTATATATAAATCGCTTAAACGTAATTTTGAAAGAGAAACATGTGACTTTTTTCTCGTTCAGACCTTGTCTAGTGGTTCATTGTGACAAAATCGAAAATAATCTACACAATTATTAAATTCGTAATTTAATTACGCTTTGATACGTATTTGATAGGTGCGTAAACGACAGGATGACCGAAAAATCAAAATAATTGCTGATACAATACATGGTTTCATCGACCTAAAGGGTCACGAAAAGATCCCTTAAAATGTCGATCTATTAAAAACACGGCGGTTGCACCAGCTAGATGGAATGAACAGGGAAATTAATGGATGCTGCACAGGATAGCGTTAAAAATCATCCAATACAGGCATCTAGGTGCTTGGTGCCAAAAGTAACTCAAACAATTCAATTTTCACAAGAATATGATTGGAGAAACCATCCAAAATGTGACTGATTTTTTTGTGCGCTTTTAAGAAGAATCGTCGAAATTATTAGTGAACACTTCCAAATAGGATTGCAGTAAAATTTCAATCTGTGAGTGGAAATACAAGCTTGACTGGTGGTCAGGTTCTTTCGTCAGGGAAACGATGAGATGTGTCTGGCAATACCATGATGCTGTATTGACTGCTCTCACAGTTAACTTTACATCCTGAAAATGCTGACGTAAACTGTAAGGAAAGTCAAGGCACCATTAAGCATAGAGTAGGTACATCCTGAGTAGAGTCCGGTAGAGTCGTAATGTAAGTGTTAGAGCTGGCGCCACTTTTAAGCATTTTCCATGTCCCGAATTCCGAGACTCCTGTGTGACGCCGGGTCACTTTTTCGATACATAATCGATTGTTTGCGATACACGGGTACTCATCCATCCGATGACAACAACAACAACAACAACAAAGGAGATAGGAATTACCACGTATTCCACACCGCCATTTTGGATCGAAAATGTATCGAAAAAGCGACCCGAACTCGGCGCACATACCGGGCTCGGAATTCGTCGAGCAGAACATGGCGCCAGCTCTCCCATTTACATTACGACTCTATGTACTCTATGCCATTAAGGGATCACCAGACGCACTGTTCACATCCACGACACTATCTTTTTCTTTTTCCTTTTTCGGTGCAAGCTTGTGCGTAAATGTTTAAACAATCCGATATAGTTGAATTATACGTTTGAATCACTGCCTCCAATTAATTTGGACATTTGTGTCTTTGCCGAAGAAATCACGTGCATCCGAAGGAAAGCCATCCAGCCCTCGCTTAAACAGAAAATCGACTTCAGGCATACAGGGGACACCTGAAAAGGCTTTGAGCAACGATTCGTTCAGATGGAATAATCGTGACCCGAACTCTCTCCAAAAGAAAAGACTCCAGAAAGGAGGCAGGACACTGAGACGGCATGAAACTGCGGCTATAAATCGGACAACATCGAGTTCACGCGGACAGGGGTCACCCAGTAATGGGGGGTCAGCTAGAAAAGGGTCACCCAGTAATGGGGGGTCAGCTAGAAAAGGGTCACCCAGTAATGGGGGGTCACCTAGAAAAGGGTCACCCAGGGCGGAGTCACGGCCAGAGACACCCGCGGGGGGGTTACCCGGAGGAGGGTCACCCAGCACGCGGCTACGTAGGGGATGGTCAACCAAAACGGTGGAGTTCTTCAAAGCGTGTGCAGGGGGAAAATTAGCCGCGTCAGGATCGTTTGGAACGTGGTCACCAGCCGCATCATTTCGCAAATCAGAGGCATCAAACCGGCCATTTCGGAATAGTTATTACACAGCACGAATGAACAACGTCAGGGCGTTTCTGGAGAACGATCCTTGCAACAAACCTGCGGAGGAAGAGGACCAGGACAACCCTGACAAGAAATACCATTGGAGGAGGGCTCACGCAATGTGCTCTCGAGCAGTCATGGAGCTTCACAGCTTGCCCCCGGACCTGACTGGCCGCTGTCGTCACTGTATCAGAGCATGGTGTCGTGAAGTACAGATAAAAAACTGGTGGTATGGTAACATCTATTATGGGTTTACTTGATTTTTTACAGTGATACTACTGAGTGAAAATAACCAGGATTACAGTAGTATTCACTAGAACTCTGGTGATACAATAACATGGTACATGCGCGCAAAGAGAAGTCGGTGCTGATGTAAGAATCTTCTATTCATAGGGCTCCGACACTTCCTTTGTCATACTCACGGAGCTTTTCTGTTGTGAGAAGAGAACTTCGGTCGTGAGCACCGAGTATTTTGTCTTCATTACGGAAACTTCTGTAGCTGTAACGAAGAGAGCGTAGGATCCCTACGAACAGAACTATTATATCCAGTGTGCTATACCGTAGAGTCTGGTGTTTATTACCAAACTCGGATCATTGTGTCAGAGTATGGTAAAATCTACTACATTTTTTTCCGTCGGATATATAGAAGGATAAGTAATCTATGCAGATGGGGTGTCTACCAGGCAAGAAATGAGATGAAAAAAATCAGTAATAGATTTAATCGAAGAATGAAGGATGAAAAAAAAAATCAGGGGCAAAACTGAAATACTAAAACGAATGAACAGTAATTTTTAAGCCATTAAAAGAAGTGGATAGAAATTGGCAGAAATTAAATTTTAGAGGCAAAAGGGTAAAGAGTTTGATACAAACACAACCAGATCTCTTCTAATCTCGATTACTTCATTTTTGGAATGTCATATTGGTATATTAAATGAAAAACAACTTAATCAGTCAAAACTCACATAATAAAATAACACCTTAATTTGGGGAAAAGGCTGCAAAAGAACAGCAAAGGATAAACAAAAACCCGGAACGTTGCAAAATATTAACAATTTCATTTTCTACCGGAAAAACCAGTCTCGGTCTCGCAATAACGGCGAATCGACGGCTCATGTTAATTTATTTCCGGTTAAAAATGAAATTGTTAATATTTTGAAACGTTCCGGGTTTTTGTTGAAGTCAATCCTCTACGGAATTTCAGCAAGAAAATGCCAAGGGGAAGGGAGGGTTCCAATTTGAAAAAAACAGGTTAGAGAATTTTCCCAATACATACGCATATAAAAGTCGCTTTTACAACGCACTCGAGCGTTCTGCGACACTCGAACGCCACATGTGCCTATCAACCCCGAGAGGTTATCCGGCAATGACAGTGCAACGTCTCCTCGTCAACGCCCTGCTGCCATCCCTTCATGGGGCGTCAGTGGCATGGCGAGCTTTGCGATATATCGATAGACCTCTCACTCAAACCTATGGAAAAGAATCGATAAATAGGGTGTTCGCCAAAGGCGGATCCAGTATTTTGGCAACACCGGATTTCCTAAATTTAAACCTATGCTAAATAATCGATTCTTGTGAGAACATCTCATGGAGTCACAAACGGGAATAAAGATTAAACACATGGAACGTTTTTCATAATCTTTGATCGACTCATTCTCAAATTCCTTTCGCCGATCCCTCTCTCTTTCCGTTTGTTCCTTGTCGACCCTGTACTTCCTCGGTCCATTCCGGATTATAATCTTTACAATTGGTGCAAATGTAATCTTTAATCCCGTTTGTGACACTGTCGAGGCCTAAAATACAGGAACCAATCAGAAATGGATCCGCATCGTCTTAACTCTCAGTATAAAGGGACTCTACCTTACACGGACTGAAATTTGCGTGAAAATTGGACGCATTTCTGCCTCACGGAACTATGCGCCAACTTAATGCGGCACCCATGAGCCATGGTCTTGTGGCTCGCATGAGTTAAAGAACGTGGAATGATCTCCGCGACTCCGTCATCGCCGCTAATGTCACTGGCACTATATAATTCTGCCGTGCAACGCAAAAACGCCGTAAATGCCATTTTAAATTTTTTGGAAACGATGTATCATAGCAGAAAAAGTTGTGTACATTAGGACAATGTTTTTACAGAATTCTTTTGCAAATACTATTAAGCACTTAACCTGAAAATTTGAGGTGCATGGGTAAAACATTTTTTATTTTATGAAGTGTTAAGTTTCAAAAAACGAGGGAAAATCTTGATGGACTTATGGCGTTCTTGCTTAGCACGGCAGACTTCCCATTCATTCTTACGACCATCGACGAACGAGCACACCCCTTCTTTCCCACCTTTCTCTGGTTCCGTTTGGCAGAAGCCACATCCAATTGGACGTATTTCTACCAAACGGAACTATGTGCATTACGACATGAGCCCTGAGACCCATAAGCATATGTGCATAACAGGGCTCACGCCATAATGCACATAGTTCCGTTTGATAGAAATACGTCCAATTGACACTCCGCTTCTTCTGGCTAGAACGCTGGGGCGTTTTTGGCCCCAGCGCCCTAACTACTGGGACTTAAGATGATAAAATGGACACCATATTTTGTGTCAGAACGGCATGCGATATAGAAAATATCGCATTCGAGTGCAGTTTCAATATCAGTATCGAATGCGATGTTTTCTCTCTAAAAAAAACCACGCCTTTATTACGTTTAATTTCTTTGTTAAAATTGGTAAGTGAGTGCTTAAGTCTCCTAACGACAGAATTGCGATCTCAAAATTGGAGAAAAATGACGAGTAGCTGAAAAAATGGAACCAATGGATGCGATTTATCGCATGCCGTTCTGACACAAAATATGGCGTCTATCGAATCACTTTAAAACTAAACCGTTCTTATTTTCAGAGCGAAAAAACTTTCTTTTCTGCTCTAGCAAAGCCTCCGGGGGACGAACATAACGATCCGTTTTGTTTCAGGTCAAAGAAAAAAACAAAATTCGTTTGCACAGTGAAGGAGGAGGTCAAGAGAACGGTTGTAAACCAGGATGAAGTAGACGTGACGGGCGCACCTCCAAAGTACGATATCGAATTTAGAGTAGTTCCCCTCTTTGAGTGCGCGAAGGAGGCCATGCGTGAGCTCAAGCGATCAAGGCAGATTGCCGAACCGCAGCAAGTGCTGTACGACGATTGGGTTCTTTATTTAGAAACGAAAAAAGAAGAGGAAGAGGAAGAAGATGGAGAAGAGGAAGACGAGGGTGAAGAAGAAGAAGAAGAAGAAGAAGAAGAAGAAGAAGAAGAAGAAGAAGAAGAGGAGGACGAAGAAAAAAAAAGAAGAAGTGCCTCCTTGAAGAAAGTCCCGCCTCCCAAAGTCCCTTCGGATCAGTAACGTAGCGTGCTTTGCGATATATCGATTGATCTGACATTTAAACCTGTGGAAAAGGATCGATAAACCGGGTGTTCGCAGCGAACATTTTAATAACCGATTATTTACCACAGCTTCAAATGGGAAAATATCGATAAATCGAAAAGCACGCCACGCCACTGCACCGGATGTTCGACTACTTGGTTCAGTCTTAGAATATCGAGATAAAATGTGCCTGTTATAAGCAAGAGACACAGCCAACTAAATACACTTTTCATTTTCTCGCTCCCCTTACGGATAGAGGAAGTATTGTTATCCCCCCCCCCAAAAAAAAGTTGAAACTTCATCATTTCTAGGCGTCTGCAGGTGCCTGGAGTAAAAAAAAGGAAGTTTGAAAAAATGTGTGTCCGTCCGTCATCAGGCGTTCCCCAAATTTGTGTACAGCCATATCTCAAACTCTATTCGTTCGATTTCATTTAAAATTTGCAAAGAGGACCATATCGACGGTGAAACTACCAAACCACGTATCTCGTTTGCGGTGTTTAAAAATCTACGCTCACATTTTATTTTTTTAAAGTAGACCAAATCAATATCATTCCTTGAAATTTTCACGGAATTTTCTCCGCACAAAGAGGAAAAATCACAGAAATTTTCAAGACTGGGTGTTAAGTAGTTTTTCATTTAAAAAATAAAGTATGACAGGAAGTCTGCGACGTCGCAAACCGAGATACGTGGTTTGGTAGTTTCACCGTCGATATGTGTAGTCTCCTCATGCCCCATTTTTTTAAAAACCGAGGTTTACGTCAAAATTGTGAACTTGTATCATCGAAGTTGGAGAGCCCGAAAAGTCTGAACCTTTTTCGTCGCCAAGAAATCCAAATCAGTCAATCCGTGTCTGAGATACTCACCCTCGAAAGTGGAGTAGAGTCCCCTCCAAAAAATTCTGCATCGCTGAATTGCCGAAGAGACTTGAAAAAAATATGTCTTAATGGGTATAATCAGCCTCAAGTTATCAGAGTTTGGTGATATCGTAACCTCTAAGAGTCCTTACTTGCATAAACTAGTTTTAAAAATTCTAATGATGAGAAAAGTTTGATTTTTGAAAGTGAGGGAGCTGGAAACATGGAGCCTTTCAATGGATTCTTCATAATCTTAAGTAAACTTTCGAAAACAAATGTGGCCGTTATTATGAAAACTAACAGATGCGTTCGAAAATTTACAGAAAGGCGCAACTCAAAACTCCTTGGGAGAATGGATCAGGTTGTACGGTAAGCGAATAGCTCCATATTTTCAGCCTTAAAGAAATAAAATGTTTTTTCATGTAAATAAAGATGAAAAGTAAGTTTGTACTTGTAAGTTTTTTGTCTCTTAGTTTTTCTGCCAGAAAAGCCAACGTGTAAATATACATATGTATGTGTAACACCTTAATGTATACTGACATTTACCATATCACGGTCAAATTCACCTCATTCTTTGCAAAACTTATAATCTCCGTTTTAGCGGATGACCAAAAGTATGTAAAATTTATTTGAATCGGCTCATGCGAAAACAGCTAATGTCCATTTTCTCTTATTTTGAGTAAACTGCAAAAAACTGTAAAAGCCTTTTAAATGCGGGATTAAAAAATGTTCAGAAGTTAATTATTACAGGAGTGGACTGTAGAGAAGGATCCCTAACAGTTTTCAGCTCCTCCTCTGTCGGGGACGAAGTAATTAAAAAGAAAGGACTCTGGACTTTAGCGGTTTTCGCATGTTTCGTAAAAATCGCCGAGTTTTGGAGCCGTTTGATATTTTCAAACTTTATTTTGAAGATATTAAAGCGGTAGATTATCAATCAAATAAAGTTGAAAAAATAAAATTCTGGACAATTTCGGTACTTAAAGTAAGTTTCATCACGAAACTACCAGCAATAAACTAGACATTAGCGGTTTTTGCATGATTTGCGCGTGGACGGTTCTAAAACATCGAAAACGCATATGTTTAAGTACGCCTTTCGAGCAAAATAGAATAGTCCCAACTAGTTTGAGACGCCGAATCCGAAAATGACCTTCGTTTTTTTCCATCACCCTCCAATTTTCCGGAAAAGCCGATTTTACTCGGAAAAATTGTCATTTTTTGGCATTTTTGGTGTTTTTCCGACTGTTATCCCTGCAGAATGTAGGAAAATTTTTTCGTAGCAACGAGATTCAATTTTGCCGACGTCATTTTAACTGATGAGTCCGGAAATGACCTTCATTTTTCCCGCTCACCTCTCAGTTTTCCGGAAAAGCAACTTTTTCCCGGGAAAATGAACAATTTTGACGTATATTTGTCTTGCATGCACTTTATTTTTATACATTTTCCTGGACCCGTGAAAGTACTTATGTATTTTGAGCTGCTGAATCCGAATATGACCTCGGTTTCTTTCTTTCACACTTTAGATTTCCGGAAAAGCCGAGTTCTCCGAGCCTACAATTGTGTATCGCAAAAGCTCTGCCGGACTCCAAGTGTATTGAAAATTCATTTTAAAAATGTCTCCGATGTGTAAAAGGCACATCGATTTCTTTCTATTTAGAACTGTTAAATTCAGATATGATCCCAGATTTTTCCGATCACCCGTCATTTTTCCGGAAAAGTCGCTTTTCCCGCGAAAACGCTCTTTTCAGGTATTCTGTCCCGTTTTTACCACAATTTGAGTGAAAGTGTATCCCTGAATTGTAACGATTCAGAATCTCGGATCGGGTTCATTAAATTCATTTTTTTTTAAATGAGGTATGAAAAGAGCGAAAATATTCCGTCAAAATTTCCGGCGACTGAAGAAAATCCGCGGAAATTCCTTAGAAAAACTGTATTTGCCTTTCGTGACAAGAATGATTAAAAATGAGACATTAGTTGAGGTCTATAACGTTGCAATGGGAGGTAAATACGCTTCCTTACGCGTGCAGGAAAGGATATTTGAACTCATTCACGGCAGGCGCAGTGATACAACTATTCGACCACGGGTGTAAGCATGTTGCTGCCAGCCGGATTGAAGGCGCGCTACACCTAAGCAATTACTCGGGTCCCATCCCGTGCGATCTCCCTGGCTGGCGCGCCGCTAAAATCGCCTGAGAGGGAGGACTGCACGTCATTATCCTTGCCTCTCTGTCCAATTTTTACCACAATTTGAGTGAAAGTGTATCCCTGAATTGTAACGATTCAGAATCTCGGATTGGGTTGATTAAATTCATTTTTTTAAAATGAGGTATGAAACGAGCGAAAATATTGCGTCAAAATTTCTGGCGACTGAAGAAAATGCGCGGAAATTCCTTAAAAAAACTGTATTTGCCGTTCGTAACAAGAATGATTAAAAATAAGACATTATTTTTGTGAAGAAATCAAATTTTGCGTTTTTTAAGCCCACAAATATATTGCATGGAATTTTGACTCAGGTGCTTGTTCCTAGAATTGCGTCACCCAGCTTCTTGGGAGATGCCTACGCAAGGCAAGACACTGATAGAGACAGAGAGAATCGAAGGGATGGTGAGTCCATTTGACCTTACTCTCCAGGCGTAAGCACTCAACCGTTTTTAGTTAGCACTATTTCTTTACACAGAAAACCCCTCCTAAGAAAGTGATTATGCACGAGTTACTCTCGGGATGCAAAAATGTCTGACTGCATGAATATACCTAAAAGAGTCCTGCAAGTTCATTTTTCATAGCAGCAAGCCGACTATTGAAATTTTGTGTTTGTCGAGCGGACACAGGTGACACAAGTTAAATGGCGGAGCGTAATTGGTTGGCTATATATGCCTTATCGCTGCTTTTTCGTGCTTTTGTCAGATGGTGCTCACGACAAGCTAAAGGCACCTCTTGAGTTAATGAGTTTCCAACAAAATGTCGTCTATTCCATCTGCCAATGACACGACATAGAAGCGATAAGACCAATCGCCAATAACCAATCACGCTCCGCCATTCAAACAAGTTTAATGATCGGCCCGCAGAGGACAGCATGAGGATAACGCTTTAGATCTGTTGTTTTGTTTGAGAGCCAAACCTTCGAAATCTACGTAAAATGTTAAGATTCTTAAAAAAAAAAAAAAAAAAACTATGGATGCCAGTGGGCGTTGTCAACAAAAGCTCCTCTCCCCACTTCCAAAAGAACATACCGTCGGTAAGATGGGAAATGGAAATGCACACCTCCACGCGGCGGCGGCGGCGGCGGCGGCATTTTATTCATGCAGTCTCCAAATCGACTTACCTTCGACCCGCTGTCGTTGCGGGCGATTTGGACTCATGAATTTTTCAGCAACTTTCCCCTTGACTGTTGCCGCTTGGCCCCACGAGATTAACACCCCCAAAAAGCTCTTTTTAGTAAAATTTTAATTCAGTATTATTTTATCAATCTGTAAGGCCTTACTTATATCAATCTTTAAGGACAATTTCGATAATCTGAAAGAAAAATTAACGGCCGCAGTAAATAGTAAAAATTGTTGGAGTTTTTTTTTTTCAATTACATAATGAATTTCGTGTAGTATTTACATGGAAAAAAATGATGGAAAATTTTACCAGCGTTGTGGTACGAGTCTACTTGATTTTTGACGGTTCTTAAGGAAAGGGATAACCAGGTACCTAGTAGAATTTACTATGCTTTCGGTGAATGCAATTAGCGTTACGTTTATTGCTCTCATGAAGTCTGTTGGTGATCACCACGCTCATACCACTGTACCTCAAACCGAATGTTTTTCGGCGATAGTTAAGGAAAATAATATAAAGTGAAAATAAAGAAAAAACAGTATTTAATACTAACGTAAAAGTAAAACCGAAAGTTTATCGTAAAAGTTGGAACTACGGATAAAATATTGACATTCTTTCATCATAACGTGTCCAAGTTTTCCGTTTTGATTATCTGCAAAGCTTCTTTCAAAGATGACGCCGCAAGTTTAGCTAAATGCTGAAACAAATTACCAAGAAAAAAAAAATGAAAAAAAAGAGTAAAACATGAACTAAGATGTGACAGTGACTAAAATAATAAGCTTCTTTCATATAATCAGCTAATTGGACTGAATAATTGGCTAACGAAGATTAATTCATCGTAAAGAGTGCCGTAAATCCAAGAAACTGCGATGCCTCACGGTATCGCAACTATTAATTTTTCCCGCGGAGCGAAGTCTCATGACATTGTATCATCATCAGGCTGAAGACCCGATCTTTCGGTCACCAAGACCGGAAGTTCGAGCGCTGCTTCAAGTTTGTCATCTTGTCGGGCTAATTGTCAGCTTTAATACGGTGCTGACGTCATGACGTCACGTGTTTCCCATCGGCTTCCGCCGGTCCCCGACAAAGCGGAAGTGGAAATCAGCTGCCGCGGGGGGCCAGGCCCGGATGCCAGGTCGCTCGTTTAATTCGCACACTTCATGCATGCTGTCGAGGGAAATTCGAGAGATTTCTTTCCACCTGGCAGCCTTGCAGGCAAGGACGTGGGGAGGGAACACAGGAAGGAAGCCTCGCGGGCTGCGTCGGGCATGATTAAAGGCGCTTTTGAGCTCGCGAAGAGCGGATGCGATGTTGCCAGTCTTCGTGGTTAACGGTGAAATGGTTTGCGGTAGCAAGCAATTTAATACACATTTTTACGAGCTAACCATGGGACGTATTCGATAGTGGTTCGGTGTATCTATCGCAGGCACTTGGCAATCGCCGGCAATTTACATGGCAGTGGTGAATGAATATAGAAAATCATAAAATTCAAAAATGAAAGAAAAAGTTTAGAGTGCTAATTAGGTTGCCTATAATGTGAATAGACACTTTATCATCCTGAAAAACACGGCAGGAATATGCACACTCGGAGGAACGTGTAGTGAACTCCGTGACATAAGTAGTTGGGTTGAGATCGGACAGGCAACTAAACCAACATCTTGACAAAGCGTAGAGTATCACATAAAATGAAGGCGCCTTAGCCCGAACTCATACTTTTGAAGACCTTAACCCTTAAAAATTGCATTTATGCCGATGCGCATTATTTCGATTTATGGAAACAACGTGTGAACCGCTTGCAAATTGCCGCCGATTGCTAATTGCATGCGACATATCGTTTGGTTCGGAACAATAGAACATGGCTTCGAACAAACATTTCTGGATTTAAGTTGGAAAAGCTGAAAATAAGAAAGTTCCTAACAATTTCACTCTTCATTGCCATTCAATACGCATAAGAATAAAAAATCCACCACACGAAATCCTTTCCCTTAGATTACTAAATTGACTTTAGAGGCTATGTTCACATTTTGAACCAATTGATTTCAATATGATTGCGCCTGTTTGATGTATCGAATACAATCCATTAAGACAAATTGTATCTTTACTGATTATTATAAAACTAATGTGGGCCAAATAAGTAAGGGGAAAAGAAAAGTATAGGAAGAAACAAATTGGCGCGAGCAGATCTGAACTGGCAAGGTGGAATAAAGAATATTCTTGTAGATGAAAAGTCAGTGAAGGTTTATTACTCTCACAAATTTTGTTTCCTTAAGAATGAACTAATATGCAATTGGGCCAGTCTAGCATGCAATAAATCATTTAATCGCTCCAAAATCTAAAATTGAATCTAAAATTAAGATGTATTGACCATAAAACTAGGTAAATCAGAGAGTCACTAGTTGTAGAAAGTAGTGATAAAATATTACAGAGAACTGTAGAGGGCATAGGCTTCTCTAGCCACCACGCGATCTAAATCTCATTCAGAGGACGCTTTTTCGGACAATATTCAAACAAGACGACGCGACGATTCCAACGTCAAGACGTTGACGTTGGAGAGCGTTCACCGCAGCACCTCGTCAATATGTAAAAGTGGCCTTTCCGCGGACGGAAGAGAGCGCTGCAAGACGCTGTTGAACTAGTTAGTTATTAGTTAGTATAATCATACAGCGTCTCATACGTGGAGCGTAACCTATAGGAAACATACATCTATATAAGAAATGATTCGTCTTCATAGAGTAAAATATAGGGGTCATTAGTGAAGGGGTACTTTGTACCCAACAATTTTTTTACATCTCCGACGACTAAAAATTTGAACGATCCTTGAAAGAGTCATTAAATGAAAGTACGTTGCAGAGTTTTAAAACGTAAAGATAATAATTTCTCAAAGGCGAGCCTACAGGCAATACATAAAGTGGACAAAATAGGAGAAAAAAGGTAGAAATGGTACATAAAAAAAATTGAGAAACTCGGTATTGCTTCCCGCCACGAAAAATGGCGCCGATTCCCATGGAACAGTGCGGGCTTTACCAATGGATACATTAGTAACATACCCGATGCAAAACGACGGGAAAGAGCGTACACTACTAATGTGGTGAACGCTCAAAATTGGAAGAAAAGGGGCTTATTTATAGGTAGAGTCAATAAAAAGGTGATTGGTGGTTTTGAAAAAAACCGATCGTCAACGTCAAATTAGAGAGGATTTTATAGTTGATGATGCTATTAATAAATCACATCGTTAACATATGTCCACTGTATAGCCTTGAAAATAGTTTAAAGGAGATTGCAAGAACTTAAAATTTTCAAGAGTTTCTTTTTTAATTGATACAGGAAATTTTCAATTTGGAGTTTTTTTTACTGATTTAGCAACAAGGTATGAATTTACATAAGCATAAGAGATAGGATTCTAGTTCTAAACGTCATCTGGTTCATACCTTGTATACAATATCGAAAAAAGTAAGCAAGAATTCGCTCAACAAAGCGACGGAAAGGGGGAGGTCTTGAGTCTACTGGGATTTTGCGTCGAATCCTTTTATCGTCGAGATGACTTTTTGAAGGCATACGGTTACTACATTCCAATAAGTCCCTAGCTCTAAAAAGGGAATTTTCCGATTTATTTGAATGGAAGCAGTCTCTAAGTTTGTTATCTTCCCATTTTACACAAATTTTAATCATTAAAGTAACACAGCCGACAAGTGAAGCCTAGCTGGTGATTGACCCTAATGGTAAATATTTGTTCTCAATGGGCACTCTTGTTACATACACTAAAACAATGAAGAATGAGTGGTGATGAAACGAAAATTGAATTTCACAATTTTACAAGCCAACAATTTTAAAAAGGAAACGGCTCTTCGACGTCCACAGACACCAGTTGGGGAACTCCGTAATTGGTAACTAAGTAGAGACTGATACTCATTTGGAAGTAAAGTATATAATAATTTAATTTTCAAAAGATAACCGGCATCTGTTCGAAAAATTTTGCCCAATCCTAATAAGTCGGAAATAATTAGGAAACTTTTCCGCGGATATTTTTCTCTCTCTAGCCAAAACGTTGCCTTTTTGCCTCGCTCAAGATACTTCGCGCTGTGAATTTTGTGTGATCAGAATTTTCGTCAGAAACCATGGCAGCAAAAATCTGAGAAGCTAGGCAAAATTCGGCGATTTATATGTTCATAATAACTGGACGACATTTTGCAATAAGGAACCGCACTTTCTTTGGCTCTTCTGTAAAATCAGCTTCCTACATGGCAGCCAATGGCATATATGTTGCTTCTCAAATTAGCAAGGAATAGTGGTTCCTTATCGCAAAATGTGGTCTAATTGTAAAATCAAAGTTAAATCCAAGAAAACGTGTCTCCTTGTAAACATCAATGATCCCTGTAGGCCGTGATTTCGCTCGTTTTTCACGACAGCAGTCCCGCAAATCGCACTATTTGGCATCGCTACCACTCACGTAATACAGTAAATATTTGACAGGATACGATTTTCCAAGTAGATGAAATTAGATTCAGATAGAGGTTCAAGTATGGTTGGCAGATACGTTTATTTGGTGCTTTTAACATTTGAGCCATTATTAACACATTAGAGGAGAGATCAAAATAGTGTAGTGCGGAATTTAAAAATTTAAAAAGTAGGGGTCACAAAAGGGTAGTACACAAAATTAAAAGGATAGACAAGGAAAGAATACATTACATTTGGAGATTAATTCGTTTGGAAAAGAGAAGGATTTCATGAAAAAACTTTGAAAGGTGTTGCTTGCTGCACTAGTAGTCCCAATATTACTGATATATCATTAATTTATCCACTCATTTCTTCTTTCAATGTGATTAAAGACGACGTATGACTGCATTAAGTCAGACATTGTGTTATCTTAAAAAGGAAAAAATGAGAGCCCGCCGGCATTTTTAATAGCTGGCTCTTGACGCAACTATTCGTGATCTCGGGATGTGCGTGTTGCGTGCGCAAAAATTTGCAGGCGCTCTGGCTTTCTAAAAGATGTACTGCGTAAAACTGCCGGGCATAAGTCTGCGACCACGTACCTCCTTTGCGGTGTTGGGCAATCTCCGCTCCTATTTATTTTTTTAAAGGAAAACAAATCGGCATCATCCTTGGGGCTTTTGCAGAATTTTCTACGGTCAGGGAAGAAAATTCACGGCAGTTTTTAGGAATCGCTATTCAGTGGTTTCCCATTTAAAAAATAAAGCATGACAGTAAGTCTACCACGTCGCAAATCGAGATACGTCGTTGCGGAGAGTCGAAATGCTGTTTCGGTTTTATAATTCCACAGGAAACTCAAAACTACTGCCGTCGTGTGATGCAGCTTCTTGCATAAACACATTCAAGGGGAGTCTTTATTCTTGTCAGAATCACAACAAACACACAGCAACACGCTTAGTTGCATCCACGCGCCGGATAATACCGAATTGGTCCCCATAAGTCCGAGTTGGTCCCGGGTTCAATTTCACTAATCGTCCTCCGCCAGCCGAATTGGTCCCCGCTTGTTTATTGGCAACTAGCAAAAACAATGGATCGTATTCGATACATCAAACAGGTGAGATGTTATCGAATATAGATTGGCTCAGAATGTAAACATAGCTCATAAGTCAGACTCACTGCCATACTTTATTTTTTCTTATGAAAACTGCTCAACGTGCTTTATTTTAAGCTATCTTAGTTTTCCTTCTCCTTCAGCAGAATATTCTG